ATAATCAAGTTAAAAGAACTGTTAAGTTCTTTTGTAGTGGTTGAGGTTAAGAATGTTTCCAAAATGAATTTATTTTTCACATAGCAGTGAATGCAGTAACTTTGGAAATGTTTATATTGTTCCTTAGTACAACAGCATAAAAGCTGATAGGCTAGTTTGTGCAGGATGTAATTACACTGCAAGTAGAATTTACTAGCTGCTGTTTTCGATGTAAGCTTCATAAAATGGTCTCTCAACACTGAAATACTGTTCCCTGCTAATCCTGTGATGGAATCTAGAGAAACATTTGTTAACAAGTTTCTGTAAAATTGAGTCTGTCGTTAGCATCCCGATTTGTAAATGGAAGAAAACTTGTTGCCGAATTCTCATAAGGATCTTACGTTAGCTCTTCAGTCATGTGTGACTCTAATATGTATGTGGTGATGTTTCCAGAGTAATCTGTAGTAATTGTTTTGTTCAGCTTTCCTTTTCATGGATGTAGGGAAATGTTTGTCAGGAATGTAGGAAACTGGACCTGTGTCACTGAGTTTCTCTGTGATTATGGAACCGCAGCTTCCTCAACTAGCTGCGTAGTTGAGGAAGATCCATAAAATGTCCTTTCCATGCCCACTCCTGACTTAAAAATAAATAAATAAATAAATAAAAAAGCCCAAACAACATTTCAGTCGATAGATAAGAATACATAATAATTCCAAGCGCAGGCCTGTATATTTTTAGGAATGCCAGCAATCTGAACTTGAGCTAAAATAAGTTGTAGTACCATGGGAAATACAAATTTCTTCTTAATTCATTTGTGCCTAGCCAAAATGGCATTGATATCTCTTAAGAAACATTGTAATCAGATTTGTGAACAACAGATTTATGAGCCTCGAAGGTTTTGTTTAAGGCTGTTCATGCTCTTAATTAGTAGGACAGCTGGGAATGATGTCCTTTCCTAATCAAGCTAGTATTCATTAACCAGTTGAATACACTTTAAATTTATATTCTTAAATTTAATGGTATCTAGGTTAATACTCTTGTATTCTAGTTCTAGTTTAGTTTGTACTTGGCTGTGTGGCAGTGGAGAAGATTGACTAGGAAATTATTGTTTTGTCTGTTTGATACTTAAAATTGCAATGTAGTGCAGTATTGAGAGACTGACACCATCTCTTTTTGAGAAGGGGGGTGTGCCATTTGAGTACCAGCTGCTCAGTGACCAAAAGCAAGTTTTAAAAAGTTCATTTTCTAAGGACACCAGTGACGTGTGCACGTAAATGCCTGAAGCTGAGTCTTGGAAAGGGAAAGGACTTGTGCATTGAATTCTTGTTTCTAAGTCTGCCAGTATGGAACAGCAAAATTAAGTAGTTGTGCATGTATAGTAGTATAATGTGTACATGCATCTTTCTCTCTTCATTAAAACAGAGTAGGGATATCAAATTTATTTTGAAGTTTTTGGACTGCCTCACTGCCAGTGTTTGTTTAACCAAGCCTTACGTATTAAATTATTCATATTTTAATCTAAATTTATGTGTCTTTGTGTTTCCAGGACAATTCTGTGATTAAAATCAATGAATAAACTGCACAAAGAAAGCAAGAAAACTAGAAATAATGCAACTTGTCCCAAATCCTTGCTTCTTTCCTTTCCTGTCATGCCTTCCCCTTTCATGTCTTGATTTTTCTAATTTTTCTAAGTCTCAAAAACTTATGATGAAGTGTTGAATTGTTTCAAGCTACGATACGTGACCCACTGTCACTGAAAAGGGAAGATCCTTTTCCTGGTGTTACTGTTCTTTGCTTGTGCCTTGGACTGACTTGGTGATAAGCAGTTTCAGTTTATTAAACTGGCAACAAACTAACAAGGCAAAGCTAGTGAATTGTTTCCTGGGGGGTGAGTTGAATTGGTTCAGTGTGAGTGTCAGATGACACCCTAAGAAGAATTCTGTTGATTTTATTTATTTATTTATTTTTAATCTTTTGAACATCACAGTATTTTACCTGGTGAACATCACTGAGTGCTGTAAAAAGTTAAGCAGTCTGTTTATCTTTCCAATCTTGATTAGAATCCTAAAAGCTGTATATAATTGTCTGATTTTTTAATGATTACCGGAATGTGTTCTTGCGGGTGCCATTTTAGAGATGAAATTATTAAATGTACAAACTGTAGTGTTCTTATTAAAATAAAAAAAAGGGGAAAAAAAAAAGCTTTTCCAGCTTCCATGAACCTAGCAAAATTGGGATATGTGTTTTGTGATGCTCTGTATACAGAGGTGCAGGCATGACCTAATTGAAAGCTTGAGTCTGAGTTTAGACTATAAGGAGCTTATTCTCATTGCATTACATCTTCAGTCAATCTTACACAATTCTTTGTGAAAATGGTGAAATCCTTAATGCCAATGCAAGGTTATTTTTGATGTTCCAGCCTTTAGGGAAGCAAGTTTTATTTTTAAATGCATTCTGAAGTCATTTCCCAGCTCTAATTAGGGGCTAGAGAGATCCTTGTTTCTTCTTCCACTCTCTCCATTAGCTGAAAACGTGAAGGCAATGGGAATTTGGTAAAAAGGCAAGGAGCAAAGTGTTCGTAGGGCTGCTGAAGGTTTGCCTAACCTATAAGATACCTGAGGCTGTAAGAAATAAATTATTTAACAGCTTTATAAGTATTATTTATATGATAAATATTGTTTTGCAATAATATTTGTGTTTGTTTAAAAAAATACTATTTCTGACTGTATGTTTGGTAACACTGTCCACAATCTTACGCAAATCTTTAGTTGTGGCCCATTAACCTATTTTTCTGGAGGTTTCACCAGGGTCACTTTTACCCCAACAGTATTAAATTTTTTGCTAGTGAGATGCAAGAAAATCTAAAATCACTGTGACTTTAAATCTGTACAAGTTTGATATGGTCAAATGACTAATAAAGAAGGATCTAGACAGCTTGGGAAGTTTGGAGTCAGTATAATTGTTTTATGTGTATTAAAAGATAAAAAACCCTTGACATTAAATGTAATACTAAATAAAATGGTTTTGTTGATGAAAATGAGCTAATGTTTTTTTGAAAAACAAATAAGCAAGGAATCCTTGCCTTTCCCTCTTCTCATTCTCCCCCCCGGCCC